TAGAGACAGAGTCTCACTTTATTGCCCTCAGTAGAGTGCTGTCATGTCACACAGCTCATAACAACCTCCAGCTCCTGGGGCTTAGGTGATTCTCTTGCCTCAGCCTCCCGAGTAGCTGGGACTACAGGCACCCACCACAATGCCTGGCTATTTTTTGTTACAGTTTGGCTGGGCTGGGTTCGAACCCGCCACCCTCAGTATATAGGGCTGGTGTCCTACCCAGTGAGCCACAGGTGCTGCCCACCTTTTTCTCTTTTTAATAGAGACAGGGTCTCTTTCTTGCTCAGACTGGTCTCGAACTCCTGAGTTCAAGCAATCCCCCTGCCTCAGCCTCCCAGAACAGTAGGATGACAGGCCTGAGCAACAGTGCCTGGCCTCAGACAGATGGGCTTTGGAAGTTGAGATAGAAAGAGAGATTACAAAGAGAGAAGATGGTGGCACCTGTGGCTCAGTGGGTAGGGCGCTGGCCCCATATGCCAAGGGTGGTGGGTTCGAACCCGGCCCTGGCCAAACTGCAAAAAAAAAATAGTGGGGTGCTCTGGCGGGCACCTGTAGTCCCAGCTACTCAGGAGGCTGAGGCAAGAGAATCACCTAAGTCTAGGAGTTGGAGGTTCCTGTGAGCTGTGATACCATAGCATTCTACTGAGGGCAATAAAGTGAGACTCTGTCTCAAAAAAAATAAATAAATAAATAAATAAATAAATAAAAATAAAAGAGAAAAGAAAGAATAAAGAGAAAAAAGCTTTAATGCAGTGGTTCTCAACCTTCCTAATGCTGCGACCCTTTAATATAGTTCCTCATGTTGTGGTGACCCCCCAACCATAAAATTATTTTCGTTGCTACTTCATAACTATAATTTTTGCTACTGTTACAAATCATAATATAAATATTTGCTAGGCATGAGACCCCCAAAAGTGTTGTGACCCACAGGTTGAGAACCGCTGCTTTAATGGTAACTGTTATGAAAACCTGGCCTTTCATCTAGACCATGTTATACCCTACCAGAATATACATAGTCTCACTTAAGAAAGATAGAACACTGGCATTCTGGCAGTAAGCAAGCAATCTAACCAGGTGACTGTACGTGATACAGGCTGATAAGATTGAAAACAGCAAGAAGCTGATATATATGTATATGTATAGGAGAAGGGTCAGGTACTGAGGTATAGAACTGAAGTTAGAATATGACTGCTGCAGTGACAGACTGTGGCGTTATCAGGTTGCAAGTTGTTAGAGCCAGGCTGAATTCATTCCAGAGCCATATTTGGCAGCTCTATTCTTAAATAACAAAAAGTATGCTATTTGAAGAACAGAAAGCACAAGGGTTGTTTACTACTCAGTAATTATGCAGCATAATAGAAGTTAGGCAAGCTATAACACACGTAAACCTAATATAAAAAACACAATGAATAATACAAACATCAATTTGTCAAAACCTATGTAGATTCTGTCACATCTTCCCAGCCTTGATTATAAATTATTACATTTCTTTACATGGCCAGGCCAGAAATCATTCTCTTCTAATGCAACTCTATGATTTTCTGTTTAATGTGTAGCTTTTTGCCCTAGACTGAAAACTCCTTGATGATAGCAACCGTGTACTGGTTCATGATTTTCACGATTGTATAATAGCTTGAGCACCTAAGTGCAGCAAATAAATGAATGAATTAGTAGATATTTTAAAGAAACTAAGAAATCAAATTAGGAAAACAGGCTTTGAAATATTTCACAAAGATTTATCCTTATGGGGAGTGGCGCCTTGTGGCTCAGTGAGTAGGGCACCGGCCCCATAACAGAGGGTGGTGGGTTCGAACCCAGCCCTGGCCAAATTGCAACCAAAAATAGCCGGGCGTTGTGGCGGGCACCTGTGGTCCCATCTACTTGGGAGGCTGAAGCAAGAGAAATGCCTAAGCCCAAGAGCTGGAGGTTGCTGTGAGGTGTAATGCCACAGCACTCTACTGAGAGTGACAAAGTGAGACTCTGTCTCAAAAACAAACAAAAAAAAACCCAAAAAGATTTATCCTTATCATAAGCCAAAAATTTTTTCAAAAAATGACATTTTCCAGATATTACATTTATTGTTATCTACTCAATAAAATTAATAAAAGTGCTTAATTCTTAAGACAACATATTCTATAATAAGGGCAATTATCACATGATAGCCTCAGGATTTTCATACCTATTTTTATGTTACATCTAATTTGTATTAGAATTCTTAAGTAGTTTCTTTATGTAAAATGAAATTCTTTAGTGCAATGGAGTTTACTATTTGTTTTACAGAACCACATATTTATCATAGCAGCAGCAGAGTGAACCACCTTTATCTACTTCCAAAACAAATTGGTCTCAGCTGTAGTCAGTTCTTATTCTGGATTTTAATAGTTTTAATTGAACTTGAGCTAAATGTATTATCACTAAAAATTATCTTGATTCATTTCACCAAATCTGTGGTAAGAATCCAACTTGTATCATGTATTACGTTCTGTATCTAAAAACTATGAAAGGGTGGCACCTGTGGCTCAAAGGAGTAGGGCGCTGGCCCCATATGCCAGAGGTGGTAGGTTCAAACCCAGCCCTGGCCCAAAACTGCAAAAATAAATAAATTAATAAAAATGATGAAAGCAGTTCATTCATAGGATTAATGAATTCATTCTATCTTTTAAAAGAAAGTGGCAATGGCTCAGCACCTGTAGCTCAAATGGCTAAGGCGCCAGCCATATACACCTGAGCTGGCGGGTTTGAATCCAGCCCAGACCCACCAAACAACAATGATGGCTGCAACCAAAAAATAGCTAGGTGTTGTGGTGGGTGCCTGTAGTCCCAGCTCCTTGGGAGGTGGAGGCAGGACAATTGCTTGAGTGCAGGAGTTGGAGGTTGCTGTGAGCTGTGATGCCACAGCACTATACCCAGGGTGACAGCTTGAAGTTCTGTCTCAAAAAGAAAAGACAGTGGCAAATAAACCAGGATAAATTGTGTGGATCAGTGTGGTAAAGCCATAACAAGGAACCACCATATACCTGCTTCGTGAAAAGGTTACAGAAAACTTTCAATAGCTACAGGTCTTTAGATGGAATCTGAAAGAAACCTTATTCTGCATAATAACATTTTTTAGAATCCAGTATATTTCCCTCCTAATAGCAACTTGATAATGGTGCTGTTTCCCTTAAAGTACAATTGGATCTTTTTTTTTTATCTTTTCTATGTTTAAAAATTCCATAGTAACTTAGCGAGAACTCATCAAATCCCCAAATTACTGGTGAATAGAAATCATTAACTCTTAATATTAACTGTTGAATATAAATTATTTATTCTACTTTAAAATCAGATCATCAAAATGCATGTACTTACAATTTGCAGATATGGTATACTGACGTTAAAACTGTCATTCATGTTTGCATGCCATACAATTCTCACATTGGTGATAAAAAAAGTTCCTAAATTTCCCTGTAACAGACAGCAGTGAGAGACACATCAGTGGTCATTTTTTTTTTTTTTTTGTTCATTTACCTATTCTCTAAACAGCAGAATAATTCTGATTATTAAGACAGCAGTGAGAGACACATCAGTGGTCATTTTTTTTTTTTTTTCGGTCATTTACCTATTCTCTAAACAGCAGAATAATTCTGATTATTAAAGCAGCAAATAATACTACAGTATTATGGAGTGTTAATGACTTCATCATTCATTGGCTGGCTGTACAATTAGATGTCTGAGAGCCTGGACTCTAATCATTAAACTGTCAACAACTACCATGAGCAACTTTCTTCTAGGTATATTTTGTCAAATGTGAAATGGAGATAATACTAAATAAGTCATGTAAATAAAGCCCTTAGCACAGTGCCTGGCAAACAATACGAATTTTACAAATGCTAGATCTTAACTATAATTATTATTCAAAACCTAGGATATGTCAAGGCAAACGAGTTGTGGCACATGTGATAACTTCCATCAATCCACAAGAAATATTTTATGCCTCTTAAACACTTAACCCAGAGCAAAACTGTTCTCTAGTTATAAGATCCCTTAACATTTATTCAAAATTATCCCAATATGATAGCTACATGTTCTAAAGAAAACTTTAAGACCTAATAACATGGCACCAAAATTATCTGCCTCTGCCACTCATCTATCATATTCTACCTCCACTTCTCCCCCACCCCTTCACAGATATATCCATAAGAATTTATTTTATACTTTGAGGTTGGGCATAACACATTAATTCACAATCAAATCCAGAACCTAAAAGTCCTCTTCTGGATGACCATCCTATTCCCCAATTATAAACAAATTTACTTACTTATTTCCCCTTCTACTCTACATAAAATTAACACATTTTTATTTAAAAAGTTTAACCCCATTATTCCCTGACTATTAATACTAAGTATAACTTTATAAGGAATAATTCTTCCTGTCACTGTTTTCTCTTATTTAGAAAAAGAGAACAACTTATAAAACTCTAATAAGACTTTTTAAAATAATAGGAGAGCACATTTTACTATTTTTCATAATTCTGGAATATCTCCTTAATCAAAAACACCAAATGATATGCTAGGTAGTAGAGATCTAACCATGAACAGACTAACTCCACACCTACCTTTATACTACCTTATAAAGCCTACAATCTAAAGTGGAGGTATAGACAAGCTATATATTTTACAGTAGTAATAACTCAGAGTATAATTGTTACATACAGGTTGCCTAAGGGAACAAATAGAAAGACTACTACCTGATCTCACTTATATGTGAACACTTAACTTATATAAGCAGGAAGCAGAATGGTGGTTACCAAGGCCTGGAAGAGGAGTATGTGGGGGCTGAGAGGAGCAGGGTAAGAAAGATGTTGATCAAAGGATATAAAATTTCAGTTAGAAGTAATAGGCTAGGTTTAGCAGTGATGTGCAATGGTTACAGCTAGGCACTAGCCACATACACCAAGGGTAGCGGGTTTGAACTTGGCCTGGGCCAGCTAAACAAGTGCAACAAAAAAATAGCTGGGGATTGTGGCAGGTGTCTGTAGTCCTAGCTACTTGGGAGGCTGAAGCAGGAGAATTGCTTGGGCCCCAGAGTTTGAGGCTGTTATGAGCTGTGATGCTATAGCACTCTCCTCAAGGCGACATAGTGAGACTGTCTCAAAAAATAAATAAATAAATAAGTAAAATAAAATAAGAAAAGAAAAGAAGTAATAGGTTAGGCATACAGGATTACACACCTGTAATCCTAGCTTCTGGGAGGCCAAGGTGGGAGGATTGCTTGAGCTCAGGAGTTTGAGACTAGCCTGAGCAAAACCAAGACCCAGTCTCTACTAAAGATAGAAAAACTAGCCAGGCATGTAGTGGGTGCCTGAAGTTCCTGCTACTAAGGAGGCTGAGGTAAGGGGATTGCTTGAGCCCAAGAATTTGAAGTTACTGTGAGCTATTATGCCATAGCACTCTATCAAGGGCACAGGGTGAGACTTGGTCTCAAAAAAAAAAAAAAGTAATAAATTCAAGAGATCTATTGTACAATATAATGACTACAGTTAATCACAATATATTATATTCCTAAAAACTGCTGATAAGATTTTTTTTTTTTTTTTGAGACAGAGCCTCAAGCTGTCACCCTTGGTAGAGTGCCATAGCATCATAGCTCACAGCAACCTCCAACTCCTGGGCTCAAGTGATTCTCCTGCCTCCACCTCCCAAGTAGCTGCGACTACAGG